GAAAACATATGAATTATCTCCTTGTCTATTGGATATCCTTGGAAGATGTATGCTGCTGGCAAATTTGAGAAGGAGAAATTAGAGCTGGTAGTCTATCATTATTGACAAGTAACCAGACAAATGCAGGCATTGCTCGAATTGCATGAGGCAGTCTTATATGTACTGCTGGGGAAGACACTGCAGAAAGAACTTAGTCTGCTTCGGTTTGAGCTAAATCATAAATTAATGTATCAAGCAAACTTTTTTTTTAATTTTAAAAAAGAAGTAATTCACCAAGAAAAAAATAAAAAGAGGAGGATAAGTAGTACCACTGAGAATAAAGAGCCTTGGGCAGATTTGGGAGATTTAAGATGTGGAACTGACATCACTGGAAAGAGCTGGGTATGGGAGGGGGCCAGAGATGATGACTGGGAGTCTGTTTTGGACTGCTGGGTGGACATCAGCTGGCCACGTGATCCACTGGAAATAACGCAGCTGTAATTATAGAATAAGTCTCTCTACAAGGTAAACATAGTAAATCTTGTAACATTTATTATAATCTAGAATCATAGGATGCCATTTTTATCTTCATGATTTTGACCTTATTTTTGTTAAAGCAAAATTGGAAGTAAAAGAAAACCTGTACTGGGATTAGAAAATTTAGATGGGCTTCTGTCAGGAGATTTTTGTTTTTGCTTTGTGGTTTTAAAATAATCTTTAATGAAAAGTTTCAAATGTATCTAAAAATAGAATAGTAATGAAACCTCATGTATACCTTACTCATATTTCACAGTTATCATTTCTTACCCCAAATCTGGAAGATTCCTGGTTCCTTTCAGTGGGAATGGTATTTAGAGAGTAGGGTTGCTCATTGTTAGTAAGTTGGAAATACTTTTTCCAGTGTTTTTTAGGGAACATAGCTAGAAAATTTTTTTCTTTTAAAAAAAAATTGAATATACTGGGAATTCATGGTATATTTCTACTTTAAATTTAGCTTTTCTAGGCTTTCACTTAATGTTTTGATATTGTGTTTATATTTCTTAAATGCTAGAAATCTTAGTTTATAACACTATTAACTTAATTATGAATTTATTTTATCTAATTATATATGTGTTTGGTATGTGTGTGTAATTCATTACTATTATTGCTAACAATATGAGTACTTAAAAGTTTAAGATCTATTTGCTGGCTGTTTCTTTTTTTTTTTTTTGTCTTTAGGATATGACCCTTGAGGAGTGAACAAATCACTTGCCTTGAAATAACTTAAAATAAGTCTTATCTGTAAGGTTAAACCAAAAACTCAAGGCCCAGTTAAGTTCATTTGTTCTATTGTACATTTTATTTTTAAAAATGTTGGTTTATGTTTTATAATTATTTAAATACATTATTCTAAAGGCAAATTTATAATACAAGCTACATTCAGAGAGTCTGGCTTCTACCCATTTTGCTCATCTTATTTCTTCTTTCCTATTACATGGAACAATTTTAACTGAGTGTTTGGTTTGCTGACAAAAAGCCAAACCCTGTAAAATATTTAAATACATTTCTTTTGAGCCAAATATAAATTACTGTGGCCCAAGGTATAGTCTCAAAAGGTCCTAGAAACATCTTGAGGGGATAGATCAATGCTTACAAGTCATAGTTGGGTTTAAGGGATCTTTTAGCTGACAATTGGTTGAGAAAGAGCTGAAATCAGTAGAAAGGAATGTCTCAGTTGAGATAAGGGAGTTATTGAGATTAAGGTTCTTATTATACAGATGGAGTCTCATTGGTGGCAGTTCTTAAAGAGAATGGATGTCAAATGTCTTTTATTCAGACTATCAAGGTGTCGGACTCTCAGTAAATCTCTTCTGGATCCAGGAAGGTTTGGAAAGGGAAGGATTTAGCTATGTTATTGCAGATTCTCTACAGATGGAAATATTTTCCCACAAAAGATAGCTTTATGGGACTATTTCAAAAGATGTCAAAGAAATATGCTTTGGGGTAAAATATGTTTATTCTCTTTAGGGCCTGCTGCCATGTGATTCCACACCAGCATCAGGTTGGAATTTGGTATCTTATTGCCACAATCTGTTGTCAGTTTTATGATTTCTATTTTAATGTTAATGCTGGTCAGTTGTGCCTAAACTCCACAAGGGAGGGGGTATAACGAGATGTCCAACCTCTTTTTCTGTCATAGCCTGAAATTTAGTTTTCTAGGGTTATTTTGGCCCGAAGGGCGTCCATTCAGTTGGTTGGGGCAACTTAGAATATTATTTTGGTTTACAGTTTTTTCTTCATTTTTTTTTTTTTTGAGTTGAGTTCTCTCTCTGTCACCCAGGCTGGAGAGCAGTGGCACACTCCCAGCAACGACAACCTCAACCTGCTGGGTTCCAGGCAATCCTTTCACCTCAGCCTTCCAAGTAGCTGGAACTACAGGTGTGCGCCACCATGCCTGGCTAATTTTTTTGATTTATTGTGGAGATGAGGTCTTGCCAAGTTGCTCAGGCTGATCTTGAATCTGTGGGCTTAGGCAATTCTCTCACCTCGGCCTCTCAAAGTGCTCGGATTATAGGTGTGAGCCACCGGGCCTGGCCCATTTTTTTTTAAATGTTAGAAAATATGAATATATTCTCCCCCTTAGACATAAGACAGCATACTATACACACTCTTTTTATCATGTTCCAATATGGATGAATATTTATTTTTTCTTTTTTATTTTAAGGATGTGGGGTATAATTCAGGATTAGATATACAAGTGGTCATTGTACAGGTAAAGTTTGGGCCTTACTTTGGTCCCCACTTCACCTGGTTTGAGATCAGGTATCCTCACTGATGAAGTGTGCCCCCCCACCTTCCTCCCCTGGGAATTTCCCTTTACTGCCAATTCCTTTCTTATAGTATTATGAAAATTGTTCAGAGTCCACTTATGAGTGAGAACATGTGATACTCTGTTCTTTGTTTTTGTGATAGATCCCTGAGTATGATAGACTCTAAGCTGCGAAGTTTATAGTTTTGTCCTTCTCTATGGCTGAATAACATTCCATCAACTATACACACTCTTCTGCATCTGCTTATGTCTTCTTATACTATATCCCAAACTTTGCTCATAACAGTATATAGAAATATTCTTTATTCCCTTTTACCGTTGCATAGTATGCTGCTATGTAAATATACCATCGTTTATTATCAGTTCCCCTATTATTGGGTTGATTTCTGTTTTGTTTTTGTTTTTGTTTTTTTTTACCTTTCACTAGGAGATCTATTGCTAAATTCTAATCCATAGTGGTTTTATAATGTGTGCTCTTTGGATAGATTTTGAAGGATATCTGGTAAGACTTCAGGAAAAATATAGGGTTTTCTGATGAATTTTGAGAAGTCAATACAGGGATGTCTTTTTTGAGTAAGTTTTCTTAAAGCAATTATAGGCCTTAGATATCAAGCTTTTGGTCACTTTGTTTCCCAAATAGGAACACTTTCTGTTTTCCTAAACTTAGCATCTTTTAATTCTTGGATCTTTGTCCATTTTTACTGAACATTTCTTATGGGCAAAGGCATGTGCTAAATGCTGGTGGAACATGCAAGTGAATCCATAAAATTGCTACTCTCCACAAAATCACAATCCAGGTGGAGAGACAGACATATGACACCTGAGACAAGACAAATGGCTAAGTGATAAAATTGAACAAGCTCTTGAAGACATTGCAGAATGGAGTGGGGAGGGGGGTGTGGCCCTTAACCTGTGGTCTCTGGGGAGACCCTGGGTATAATGGCATTTGGACTGGCCTTGAGGAAAGGCATTTTTATCAGCGGTAACTATTGAAATAAGGTCTCAGATATGGGAGAGTGCAGGTTATTCAGGGGCCTTATTAGATCTGTGTGGCTGCTCCAGGAGTTTAAGAGATCCCTCCAATGTTTCACAAGACATACCTGTCTTTAAACTGCAAACCCTAAGCCTTGAATCTGTAATGTTCTGCTTTTGATTTTTTGTGGATAACTGCTTTATAGGTGTTTGAAACCCTTAGTGCTTTGGCTTGGATGATGAGCATCTGAAAGACACATGGCCTTGAGTATGACCCTCAATCACAAAACTCTCTATCAACTTTGATCTCATCATTTTACAATAGTGTATCAGCCTCTATGCGACTCAGAATGTGCCATGGGGTTTTGAATATGTAAACATAGAAGGAGAAAAGAGGAGAGGTCCCATGGTTGGGGTCGTGAGTTGATAAGAGGTTTCCAGGGTTTTTGTGACAAATGAGGTGTGTGGTTGGGGGAGGGGATGGGCTGAGCGGTCTAGCTTTCATTGGTTTCCTTTCTTTCTCTTTCTGATGTGCTAGTGACTTTCTCTGAATGTAAAGAATTAAGTGCTTTTTGGTTTTTAAAAAAATTTTGTTTGAACATTAAGCTAAACTCTAAATTGTATATAATAGCTCATGGACTGTTAAAGTATAAATTGACACCTCAAGAATTGTCTTTTCATTTATAGCTGAAGAAACTGAACCTCAGAGAGGTTTTTACATTTTGCCTGGGGTCTCACATCTTGTAGGTAGAAGAACTCAGAGAAAAACCCAGGTCTTCCTCCCTTCCTCCTTTGTCTGAGCAATTTGATGCGCATTTTACCAGAGAGTGATGAAGTCATTTCTAATGGATATGTGGATTTGTGATGAACACACAAATCAACATTCAGAAGCCTGTTTTGACTTTCTTTTTATTAGTCTTAAGTATGGCATAATGACCAAGGAAAATAAATCTTCAGGTTCCAAACTTGACAAAATGTCCTTCAGTTCCGTTTTTTTAGTTTACAAGGACACATTTTCATTTTATTGCAAATTGAACAGAAGCAGTTTAACTATACAGCCAGCAGTTTAGCAAGACTGCTTTAAGTTTCAAACCTCTCTAGATTTTATCTTGAGTGAATTTAAGGATGTGTGTATAACTAGTTTCAATAGTGTGTTCCAACTGTCTCTGAATGCACTATGGACAGCTCCCAGGTGGTCTCAAACTATAAATTTATGCACTATGTATGATCTCCTTTTTAGGACCAGATCTTTATGGAAAATGTAGGTGCAGTGAAGCAGCTCTGCAAACTAACTAACAACCTTGAAGAAAGAATAGAAGAGTTAGAAATATGGAACAGAAAGCTGGCCAGGCTAAAGAGGCTCAGTAGCTGGAAGTCCTCAGTCAGTGAAGCAAGCTCAATCAGGTATGTCTAGGACTGCTCTGGGGGAAAGGAGAGAGTGGGTTCTTCTGAAACTAGATAGATCTAAATCATCTCTTTGATCAAAGAGAAATCATTACTTTCTGATGAAAGTCCCTATTTTTCTTTCAGAGTATTTTGGCACATAATTGCCTTATAGGATAATTTTCTTATTTTTTCTGTTTTTACTTTAAAAATGAAACAAAATATGGGGTCGCTACCTGTTTAACAGCAGTTTATACAGAAAATGCTAAATTTTAGCAAAAGGGTGCCTTCTCCTTTCATGAGGAGAGATGGTCATTTATAAATTTAGAAAATCATGCTTGGTCTTCAGAGGAAAAAAACTTATTATTATTTTTTATTGCTTAAGGAGATAAATGCACATTTCCTGGGGTCCAGTTTTGAGCAAAAGAGAAATGTAATGTTTAATGCATTCATCTATGCTTACTAAAGCTGTTTTTTCCACAAAAAGGAATGCTCAATTTCCTTGACTTGGCCTTTTTCAAATTGTCTCTGTGTTATAAAAGAAAGTCATGCTGCTGTGTTTGTGACATTCTGAGCCTTCATAATATAGCTTCTAGAGAAGTATTTGAATATTAACCAATTTTCTCTCTCTTTTAAAGCAAATTTAGCAGAGCTGTTAGTGCATCTTCTCCAAGGAGGACCGTTCACAAAAAACCCAACAAGGTAAATAGACAAGTTTATAATGAAAAGAGGTGATATTTAAAAAAAATTTTCAGAGAAATTGATCAAGAATTTTTTTCTCATTTATTTGTTGATAGATTCCCTAGCTTGTATCCTTATACATGACAGGTGTTTAAATATTAACTCTTTAATAAGTACTAACTGGCCTTTTAAAGAGCAGAAGTTTAGAGAAATGAGTAAGAAATTTCAGAATTATTATCCACAAGTTTGTGTTTATAATTGGCCCCATCCGGTGAAATTCATCAAGTTTCACAGACGAGGGGGACCCAAAAAACCCAGAATTATCTTTTGGAGGGTGGGCCCCTTGTAGTACAGGCTTCCTCCAATAGGTAAGTGTTCTAGGAACCTTTTGGCATCAGTGTACCAGCTAGTGTTGCCATGAGAGGCCGCATTCGACTTCAGCGAATTTTTTTTTTCTTGAGATTCTTTCAAAGCATTTGCCCATTTCATGATGGGTGATTTAGGAGCACACCTGCCCACACCACACTGAGTGTTCAGCAGTTTAGACCAAAACCAGCACACGCCCCCATGTCCCATCCTCCCTATTCCCCTCGTCTTGTCCCGAGTGACATTTTTTATTGAGCTGGATGAGAAAAATCCTTAAAGGAAAACATTTTGCTAATGTGGAAGAGGTGAAACAAAAAACAGCAGAAACACTAAAAGGCATCAAAATTGACGAGTTTCAAAAACTGTTTTGAGCAGTGGAAAAAGCATCTTGATAGGTGTGTTGCATCAAACAGAGAGTACTTTGAAGGTGACTGAAGTTTAAGCATGTAAGAATCAACACACAATGTTTTATAAACAAATTCCGAGTTTTTTTGGTCCCCCCTCAGAAGTTCCTGAAGGGTCTTCGGTTAAGCCTCAAGTCCCTCTTTGCCCTTTGATATTTCATACTAAAAATGCAAACGGGACATAGGTATTCACTTGCTTGCAAAGGTTAAAATTTGATGGTTTTATTAATGGACAGAGACAGCTTTCATTAAGTAGGATAACATTTATAGTAAAAACTGAAGGGTAGTCATTTATTAACGTGAAGGACACCCTCTCCATCATTGAGAAGGTTCAGTGAGGGAGATGCTGCAATATGCCCTTCGTAACTGCCCTTTGTAAATAGCTGTAAGACTCAGTTTGTGCCCTCAGATCCACCAGTGGCTCAGAGGTGACCCTTCCCAGGGGAAGATATTCATGACCTTAATTGATACCAATTAAAGGCCAACTTGATGTTTGGGCCACTGCCTCAGTTTACCCTCTATACAACTCATGCTATGCTGCATTGACCTATTTAAAAAGGGTCCAGAAAGAGTTCAAAATTTTTCTGCTAAAAACTAGGAAAGTAGAACTGCTGACAAGCTTCTTAGTGTACTGACACACATAAATACATGGACAAATATACCATGTAGAAGTGTTCTTGGGCAAGTTAGTCATATTGGGAAATAGAGATATGGGATCTACTTTACAAAGATTGCTGATAAGACTAAATGAGCTAAAGCTTTTAGCACAGTGCCCAGCATATAAGTTACTCAATAAACAAAAAACACAAAACATATGGCATGGGGAAGGTACCCTTTGGATTAACCAGTCCACAACGGGATGGAGGGCATGATATCTACAGCCATGACAGCCCTATTAGGTACCATTTGGTCACCTGCAATCGCTGTATCTTGCACCCCAAAATTCTATTTATTCTACGGTTATAGGGGAATATTAACTAGAATGTATGGTTTGTTAGTGAGGCCCCCATGATTACCTTCCTCACGCTTGTGTCCCCAGGGACTAGCACATAGTAGGCACTCAAGAAATATTTGTTAAATAAATACACGAGTAGAGAGCCTAGTCCTAAAACACTCCTTGCCGTCTCACAATTTAAATAAAAAACATGAAGTGGTTCTGTGTCTTGGGAGTGTGGGTGGGGTGTAAGTTGGGCTGTGGACACAGGGCTGGGTACTTCTACAGGCATTAGAGAGCACCATTCAACTCAGAGGCTTCTTGCTTTCACTGTAGGGGGGCTGTGGGAGGCAGACAGAATCTAGTCAGATGTGGTCTCTTCTCCTAAGGAATTACAACGTAGCCGGGGATGCTTGGAAGAGAATAAGAACATTTGCACCTGGATGTGATAGATGCTGCAGAGGTTCAAAGTGTCAGGAGTCTTGTGAAAGTCAAGCCTTCAAGGGGGAGTAAGTTTTGGCCTGCCAATAGCGGATCTTTAGCAGAGGTTTCAGGGCTCAACAAAGCTCTGGCAGCTGCAGCTGGCTTCCTTGAAGGATTAGCTGGGAGCAGATTAGGGAAGACAGTGGAAGACAAGGCTGAAACTAAAGGTCAGACTCTCATTTCCTGGACCACCAGGCTGAGGAGTTCATTTGACAAGCCATAAAGACTTTTTGAATCATCATCATCATCATCTTTAAGTTGTATAGTTTCCTTTTTTTTTAAACAGACAAAAAAGGAGGCAGCGTAGCATTGTGGTTAAGAGCATAGATTCTGGAGCCACCCCCCCCCTTTTAATTCAGAAATGGTCAGGCTCTGATTTCCTGGACCACCAGGCTAAGAATTTTATTTGATAAGCCATGAAGACCTTTTGAATAATGATAATAAAAATAGTCTCTAAGTTGTATAGTTTCCTTTTCTTTCTTTCTTTCTTTCTTTCTTTCTTTCTTTCTTTCTTTCTTTCTTTCTTTCTTTCTTTCTTTCTTTCTTTCTTTTTCTTTCTTTCTTTCTTTCTCTCTCTCTCTCTCTCTCTTTCTTTCTTTCTTTCTTTTTTCTTCTTCTTCTACCTCTCCCCCCTCTTCTTCTTCTTCTTCTTTTCAGTCAAAATCTCATTCTGTCTCCCAGACTAGAGTGCAGTGGCACAATCACAGCTACCACAACCTTGACCTGCTGAACTCAGGCCATCCTTCTGTTCCAGCCTTCCAAGTAGCTGGAACTACAGGCTTGTACCACTATGCCCGGCTAATTTTTTTTTTTTAAATTATTGCTTATTGTAGAGACAAGGTCTCACCAAGTTGCCGAGGCTGGTCTCAAACTCCTTGGCTCAGGAAATCCTTTTTCCTTGGCCTCCCAAAGTGCTGAGAATATAGGCAAGAGCCACTGCGCCTGGCTTCTTTTTTTACTGACAGAAAAAAGGAGGCAACGTAGCATCGTGGTTAAGAGCATAGATATGGAACCAAAAATATTTTCTTTGTATTCAAATTCTGGCTCTGTGATTTACTAGCTCTGTGTTCTTGAGTGAGAAACTTAGCCATTCTGTGCCTCCTTTTTCTTATCTTTAAAATGGGGATGAAAAAGTACTTGCCTCATAGGGTTATTGAAGATTGTTGTGGGGATTAAATAAATTAATATATGCAAAGCACTCATGAGAATGTGGCACATAAAGAATGCAGGATAATAGCTGGTTAATAAGTCCAGGGAGCTTGATAAAGTACAAATAAGGGAAGTGTTTTGCTCACCCTATGCAGTCTTGGTGGGAGATCTCAGCCCTTTCTGTGAGGGCGACTTTTCCTTCCATGCCACCATCAACCTTCCAGGTTCCTTGGAGCCTCCATGGGTCACTTGGTCATTGAAATGCTTATGTGTGGGTGAGGAGTGGCTCTCTGGGGTTGGGCGGAGTGATAATGAGCCAAGTGCCTGCTGTGGCAGTTGGTGGGCCTCCACAGATGGTCAGAAGCCTGACTGGATCCTGGCTCGACTTTCACACAGCTTCCCAGTGCTGGCCAAGATGGTGCTCATTCTGAAGGAATATTGAGGTCTCCTGATCTAGCTCTCATCCAATCAATAGGGTTTCTTTTCCTTCACTCTATTTCTCCATTTCCAGAGGTAGGCAGGTGATTCTTGCTATAATGCAGAAGTCAGGGTGAGGTTGGGAAGGTTCTCAGGGTTCAAGTAAGAATTCACTGAGTATTTGGAGGCAGAGAGGGAGAGGGAAAGAATGAACATGAATAAACAATTTTTATTATCTTACCTCTTACAGATTTTCAGCCCCTGCTCTACCCCAAATAAACCCTATTGAATTGGAATTTTCCAGGGCATTTAAGTTGTTAGCAAGTTCTGTAGTAATTCTACTTACACCTGAATTTGAGAACTATTACACTGTTAATTGAATCCATCCAATAACTCTGAAAATAAGGCAGGTATTATTTTATTATTTCTATTTTATTGGTAAAGAAAATGAGGATCAACAGGGCATGGTGGCTATGCCTGTAATTCCAGCACTTTGGGAGATGGAAGTGAGGCTATTGACTGAACCCAGGGGTTGGAGACCAGCCTGGGCAAATTGGCGAGACCTCATCTCTACAATAAATCAAAAAAATTAGCTGGGTGTGGTGGCACACAACTGTAGTTCCAGCTACTTGGAAGGCCAAGGTGGATGGATCGCCTGAGCCCAGCAGTAACTGTGAGCATATCACTGTACTCCAGCCTGAACAACAGAGTGAGACTCCAACTCAAAAAAAAAAAAAAGAAAGAAAAAAGGAAAATGAGAATCAATGGCATTTAGATAACTTTAGGACTCAACTCCAAGTCTGACTCCAAGTCCTAGTCCATTTCCCTATATTTTGAGCAAAAGCATGAAGACCTAAACTAACCCAGCAGCTGCTAGGGGGGTTGGTCGGAGACTAATACTATTCTGAAACTAATACTATTTAATTCCAGTACATTTAACAAATTTCATTGAGTTTTTGTCTTGTATAGCCACAATTAGGACATCCTCAGCCCCTCAATATTACATTGAAGAGCATTTTCTTTAGTTAGATAACCACCCCAAATAGTTAAGCCAAAGACCAATTTTAAGCTATTTCTTAATTACCACTATATTCTAACACCCATTTGGACCAAAAGCATGCTACTATCTTATAACCCCAGAAGAAAGCAAACATAATACTTCCTATCGCATTAGTAGGAAGTTCATAGTCAAGGCACATCTTATTTAAGTGAGCAACAAACCTCCCCATATGCAAGGTTGATGCCAGTGTGTATCAGTCCTAAAGATTTGTCTTCGCTCACTTCCTAGAGACTGTAATTCACTCATTTTTATATTTCCTAGACTGTTGCACAGCCTAGTGCTCAATAAATATTTGTTGAATGAATATAAGAATAAATAAGACTCAGGCTCAGAGCGGTCCTTATAAATAGGTGGAATCATTGGATACCAATATTATAATTTACGGACTGTTTAGCGTGCTTTCCTGCCACAAAAATCTTTTCCATCGTTTGTCATGATACCGGAATAAATCTGGGATTTATTACTCCATATCTTGAAGACCTTTTGGTTTTCATAAGTAACCTGCTAAAAGAGAGGGACTTCTGGGCTCTGACAGCATCTTATCTCATATCATCTTCTTGTAAAACTGCAGGAATAAGTGCCAAATGAATGGCAGAGACCGTTGTCCTGCAGGATGTCGGGGGGAAAGAGAGGCTACTGTAAAGGTCAAGGAAAGGGAGGGGCATGAGGTAGGTTTTAAAAGAGCTTTATGTACCAGAGGCAGAGTGGAGGAAGGAGGTGAATATTAAAGCAAGCACTTGAACCATCCCAAGGAAGCAGCAAAGATCCCCCTCTGGGAGCAATCCTTCTCAGTTATCATTGCCAATTTACCACTGCTCGTTACTGAATCCTTTTATAGGTTTATTTTTCAGGAAAAAGACAGTCGTGTCCTAACTGGCTTTTCCAGACCTTGGTTATAACTCTAATTGCTGTGATGGCATTTTGGTAAGAAAAATTTCAATGTTCTGCTATGTCGAACTCTTTTTTTTTCTTTCCCCCTTTCTTTTCTCACATATGAAATGGAGACTGAGTTTCTGTTTACTTTCAAGACAAGAAGCCCTTTAAGCAAAGCACTGACCTTTGATAGCATAGAGGTGAGGGAACCTTTTTGAAACTCACATTGTTAGGAAAATAAAGCACAGGCTTTCTGCACTTAAATGTGAGTGGAAGGATTATTTTCTTTTTTCAATCAACTGCTGTGTTTTAGCGGTAAACTGTGCCTTTTGTGTGTGTGTGTGCGCACGCGCGCGCGTGTGTGCACACGCGCACATGCGTACGTGTATCTCTTTTTTAGCTTTGCAGACAACTTCATCAAATTCTTTGTTTTCATCTCTGTCTACTTAGGGGAAAGAAGTGATACAATTCACTCTCCCTTGGTCACTCATATTTATTAGGATTCTTTTGGATTCTTCAGTGAAGACTTTACCCCAAAGGGACATCAGTAAGATGAAATTGTAGCCAAATCTACTAAGCAGCTAAACCAAATAAATACAGTAAAGACAACAGTATTTGCTAGGCAGATTAGGCAACTTTTGACACCATCCCTCCACTGCAGAGACGAGAGTAATTCCTTGCGGGGATGTAGGGCCCTTTCTCAGGCTTCTGGTCTTCAGTCTCCTGCTGCTGTTGTCATGCCCCCTCCCTGGCCTTTGAGCCCTGGTCATCTTGCCTGTGTTTTCTTGCCTGTCTTCTCTAGGCCTCTGAATGCACCTTTCTTGTTCTTAGTCTGATTATTCACATGGTGAATAGGGTATTTATCCATTCCTCAAAAAATGCTTTGTTAGCATGTGAAAGGATTGGCTTCTGGCCTTGTCTTAGGGGAGACAATCAACTTCAGGGACAAAGCAAGTTGCGGTCCCAAGGTACTTCCAGTTCCCTGATCTAAAGCAGCTTCCTAGCTACGATAGACAGTGTAGGTCTCTCCATGCCTTTCTCTCCCCTTAGCACTTTCGCTTTTGACTTGCTACTGCTCATCATAGGGAGCTACCCAAGTATTTGGCACCACTACGCAGAAATCCCATTAGAAGGCTTTGCACTTTTCTCAGTCTCCTAAGTGTGACTGTATTCTCCTGCTGGGATTCCCAACTCAGGGGAGGGTAAGCCTCTACCTTTAGCAGACGTTCTTAGCATTCTCTGGAGACATGATTCCCAGTTCAGTGGAAAAGTTATAGGAAGATTAATTGTTATAGGAAGATTAATTGTAAGGTAAAGATACTGCTTTAAAATATGCTTATCAGTTCTTATGATTTTCAATATTGTGAACCGCTAAGACCATAAGTGGAAGGTATTAGGCTTATTATCTTGTTTCTGATAATAAGCCTAATACCTGGGAAGGGTTAAAACCAGGGTTTTTCCCTGTAGAAGGGAGCAGATGTCCATTTCATTCTATGGTCCTAGAAGTTCTCTGGGCCATGCATTGAGGCAGATGCCGGTGTTAAAAGACAAAAACCTAAGACATTAAATTCAACAGAGTCTAATTAAGCAAAGAATGATTCACCAATCATTCCAGATTCACGTCTTGCAAAATGGAGTAGACTCAGAGAAACTCCAGTGTAATCTGTTGTGGAAGATTTATGGATAGAAAAAGGAAAATGATATACATTGGGGTACAGAAAATGGAAGTAGGGTACAGAAACAGCCAGATTTATTACAGCATAGTGTTTGCCTTATTTGAACCAAGTTTGAGTAGTTGGCCACTTTTGATTGGCCAAAACTCAGCGATTGGCACAAGAGTAGGTTACAGTCTGTTTACACATCCATCTAGGTTACAGAGCACCATGTGAAATATCCATTCCTCAAAAAAATGCTTTGCTAGAAACCTCTAAGTTGAACCCAAAGTATGCAAGAATTAGCCTAAAATGCTTTGAGCTAAATTTAATTTAACACCAGAAACCAGTCAGAAAGAGTATTTAAGGGTTAGAGGTAGGAGATGGAAAGTGGGAGAAATGGGAGGACAAAGAAGGGGAGACTGGACCAGGCTTTTCCCAGATAGGAGTGTGACTACTGGTCAGTGACCAGTTGCTGCTGAGAAGACTTTGAAATCTGTTCTTTATGAGTGGAATTCAAATATGTGGCACATTTCTTTGTGTTTACTTAATGGTGGTAAATCAGCCACCTCTGATGGGGAACAAAATAATGAGGAGTCAAGTTTGAATAACCAGGTGTGAATTCAAGCTGGCAAGAAGTCAATCAGGGAAACCTGTTTCAGGCTCCACACAAAATGGAGCTGTACAACCATCAGCAGACTTTTTTGTGTAACTCGTGAAAGAGTTCCAAAGACAGCCCCGAAGAGGAGAATGCTAAGTATTTAATTATATGAGCATTGTTAGGAAGAGCTTTCCAAAGCTCAGAACTTTTAGGGAAAGCTTCCATTTGGATACACAAGATCTGATGATAGGGGAGAGACATCCTCACTAATTTTTTATGAAACAATATTTTGTACAAATACAGAAACAGAAATAATCAGATATACTAGCAAACTGAATCCAGCAACATATAAAAATGTTTATATACCATGACCAAGTAGAATTCTTTCATAAAATGTAATGTTATCTTAATATCAGAAGTTCAATCAAGTTATTACATAATATTACTTCAATAAAGGGAAAAATAATTATTTCAATGGACATAGAAAAACACTTGAAAAATCCAACATCCATTCTTGATAAAACTCTCAACAAACTACCAATAGAAAGGAATTTTTGGAACCTGCTAGAAGTCATCTATGAAAGCCTGCAACTAACATACATAATGGTGAAAGACTGAGTGCTTTACCTGTAAATTTGGAAATGAGGCAAGAATTTTCCATTTGAACACAGTATTTAGCATTGTACTGAGGATATTAACCAAGGAAATTACTCTAAAAAGAAAATAAAATGCTCTATATTGGAAAAGAAGGAAGCACACTGTTTTATTGCACATGATCTAATCTACGTAAAACTGTGTGCACTGATTAACTTGTTTATTAGTCCAAGTAAGTATTTAGTTAATTCTATATATCCTCGTTATTTTGAAGCCACATAGTGTAGAAATGAATGCTTTATTGCATTTCTTTTCTTTCCTCTGCCCGGTTTGGCATATTGTGCTCTGAAAAGACAGGCAGCCGGAAAGAAGATGTCAGAGAAGCAGCCAGAGGGTCTGGCATCCACAGCTGACTAGACCTGTGCAGCCTTCCCTCCCCCGCGCAATAGTGCGGACGACCTCTGCCAGTGGGATGTGAACTCTGCTCTGAGTCTTTCCTGCAAGGAGCAGAGGGCTGCCTCCAGCAATTTACCCGCTTCCTCTTGTAATCTTCCGCTAGTGACAGATGCTTCTGAGACAGCTTGCGAGGGCCAGGGGTCTGCTCTATGGAAAAATCCCTCAGAGTGGAGTGTCCCAGGAGCCTCTGAGCTCCAGGAAGCTAAGGGCTTCTTCTCACCAGAACAGAACGGCGTAACTGTGTTGGTTTCCATGGTGTTTCTGTCAGCCATGAATGCCCCCTCCCCCTCTCCGCCCATCTGTGTGGCCTGTGAGAGTCCATCTTTGGTCAGCTGGATGTGTGAGATATATCTGGAAATAAATCTGCCATGTAATGCTTTTCTTTTTCTTTTTCTTTTTAACAGTGCCTTGACAATAGTCTCCCTTTACATACTTAGCCTAAAAGATCAAGACCGACGTGCCCCAAATCTCCCTCCAAGGTGAGAGTTCAGATCTTGCATTCTTTTGGGAAGAAGGATTCTTGCAAGTCTCTTTTATTAATCATTTCGTTCTCCTCCTCCAGCAATATTACGAGCTCTCAGGAGCCTTTTCTGCCACCCACAGCCTCCTCCTCAGGTAAGGTCTTCACATTCCTCACCCTCAAACCCAGTCTACACTTCGTGTGAATTGTCAACAGAAGAAACCAACCTTTCAGGTTAACCTTGTTACTTCCCTCCTCTGGTTTCAATGCCTTTGCAGTGCCTAATACATCCCTGATGACTACACAGATCTCCTTACAAGTACCTGAAATTACTTTCTGTGAAATTCTGCCATGTCAGGAGACTTATTGCTGCCCCATTTGGGGAATGAAAAAAGTCTTTTCAAGTCCTGTGCAAAGACAATCTGAGAAGAAGGAATTCCACCAGAGGCAATGGTCAGGTAAATGATGTTCAAAAAAGAAAAACAACTAGGGCTTTGAACTGAGGTTTTTTTTCCTTGTCAATATTTACTTGGATAGTCTGTTAATGGTTGCACACTTCTATTTGGGGTGGCAAAATCTTTTAAAATGCAAATATATAAACTAGCAATTAGCTATTATATTGAGTTCCCTGGCCAGGGATGAAATTTTGGTTGATTCAAGTACTTATAATTTTCACCAAGTGAAAGGGTCTCATTTGTCCATTGTCAACAAAGATAGTAATAGTAGCACAAGTGAAGTAATTACGTGCACATGGGTGGATTTTTTGGCTCATTTAGAAGTTAAAAAATGATGTGGTATCTGGGCTCTCTGCCCAAACCAACTAGGGCAAAATGTATGAGACTTAGGAAACTCTAATTTAGAGTTCAGAGTGAGCTTCAAGTCAGTGAAAAACACAAGGCTGACATTCCATTTTCAGAATGTATCCTTCGTCTTCCTCCTAAGGGGAAATACACACACACACACACACACACACACACACACACACACACACGCACGCACACAGATGTTTTTCAAGTAACAGAATTTTTATTTAGAATTTTGTGGAAACTGGGCCAAGGGCTGCAAGAGAAACTCTCTCTCTAAAATTATATATAATTAATGTTTCCAGATTTATACTAATTTACTATTAGAAATCTCCTTGCCTACACAAATATTAATGAATGCCTAAATAATATTGATGATGATGCTAATAATAGCAATATATAGTAGGATGACTTATTGATTAGGATGCTGTCATAATAACAACTCCCAAATAGCAATGGCTTCATGAGGCAAAGATCAACTGTGGATGAAAAGAGGGCTCTTGGTCATCATGTCATTTAGGACTCAACTGATGGAGACTTCATCTCAAGAAATATTTCACATTCTCTGTAGCAGCGGACGATCAAGAAAATTGTGTACTGGATTTTACACTTTCCACTAGGTACAGCACATGTCACTTCTCCTTATACTTTATTGGACAAAGCAGGTCACATTGGTCATGTCTAGTTTAAAAACATATCTAATACATGCCTGGAAAAGATGAATCAGAATATTTGTAAGCAGTCCTACTGACTGACGCATAGAATATGGTCAGTGGTTGAAGTTTTGGGACAACCATGTAATCCCCTCTTCCTTTTGACATTATTCCTTATCCTAGTTGTTCAATAAATAATGTTCACAAATCACCATCATCATCATTAGCATGACATAATTAGGTGTTGCTCTAAGCAAGGGGCTGTTATAAGTAGTTTACATTGAATACATCATTTAATCTTCACAAGACTACAAGATAGCCACTGTTTTTATTCCCATTTATTTTTCCACCAAGGAAGTTGAGACACAGAGACTTCTTCCCCCACTCATAGGAGGCAATATTTACACTGGTTTTCTCATGAAAACAATTTTTGATTGAACTTGGGAACAGATGTATTATACAGAGCAAAACTAAAGCTTCATTTTGAAGAAAGGAATTAGTTTCAGTCATCGTTCTCTCATTTTTTAAAATATGGAAAAATCTAGAACTATTACAAAAATCCCCAAAACCTTCGTCTCTTGTGAAAGCACATGGAATCTTGTGATTGGTAAGCCCTTCTCCTTCCTTGGGAGTCCACAATGGGGATACTTGGTGTCCTTTTCTAAAAGCAGTTCTCTGAAGGGACCATCTCACCTATGAGAGATGTACTGAAAACAATGGATCCTGAACAGGAAGAGGTTATAGAGTGGTCTACTCTTTATATTCAAGGACTTCTTGACTCCTGAGCAAATTCACTTCTGCAGCAACCAGCTGTTCACATCAATGAAATACAGTCATGAGTCTGAGTCATGTAATTACGTTTTGGTCAACAATAAACCACATATATAACGGTAGTCCCATAATGTATAATCGAACTGAAAGTTCCTATCGCCTGGTGACAGCTTAATGATCTTAACCCTGTGTACACATAGGGTAATGTGTGTGTCTGTGTCTTAGTTTTTTTTTTGTTTTTTTTTTTTGAGTTGGAGTCTCACTCTGTTGCCCAGACTGGAGTGCAGTGGCCGCTCCCGGCCACCGCAGCCTCGACCTGCTGGGCTCCGGCGATCCTTCCGCCTCAGCCTTCCAAGTAGCTTAATTACAGGCATGCGCTACCATGCCCGGTTGATTTTTTGATTTATTGTAGAGATGAGGTCTCGCTGCCCAGGTGGGTCTCGAACCCGCGGGCTCAGGCAATCCACTCACCTCAGCCTCCCAAAGGCGCAGGATTACAGGCTGAGCCACCGAACCTGGCTGTGTCTTAGTTTTTAACAAAAAAGTTTTCCAAGTTATAAAAAACAAAAAAGTTAGGAATAGAAAAAAATATAGAATAAATATATAAAGAAAGAACATATTTTGTGTAGCTGTACAATGTTTGTGCTTGGGTCTTAAGCCAAGTGTTATTATGTCAAAAAGTTTTTTATTAGACGTTTATAAAGTTAAAAAATTACAGTAAACTAAGGTTAATTGATTATTGAAGAAAACTTTAAAAAATAAATTTAGTACAGCCTAAGCGCACAGTGTTTTATAAAGTTTACAGTGGTATATAGTAATATTCTAGGCCTTCACATTCACTCACTGACTCGCCCAGAACAACTTCCAGTCCTGCAAGCTCTGTTCATGACAATTGCCTTAGACTGGTATACCGATTTTTACTTTTTATACCTTATTTTTTTCTGTATCCTTTCCATGTTTGGATATGTTTATATACACACATACCACAGTGTTACAATTGTCTACAGTATTCAGCACAGAGGCATGCTATACATATCTGTAGCCTAGGAGCAATAGATTATACCATATCTCTTATGTGTGTAGTAGGTTGCAACATCCAGTTTTGTATAAGTACATTCCATGATGTTCACACAATGATGAAATCACCTAATGACACATTTCCTTGAATATATCCTCGCTGTTAAGTGACGCATAACTGTATTGGGAAGAACTGCCCTTATCATCCCAGATGAAGGTTTGGTGCTCTCTGCGACAATGAGTGTTTGCTTATCCGATGTTTCTATGTCAGTGGAAACTCCTAAAGAACAAGTGACTCCTAAAGATAGAGAATCTGCTTCAAGGTGTCAGGCTGTGTCCACCTAGATAGAACTAGCAACTTCTCTGGCTACAAATGAAATTTAAGTTCTGCTTTACCAGGATCACTGATATACTGGAAAAGTTGTTTCTTCTACTTTCTTTCAACTGGAGAAAAATGAAAAGGATTTACATGTTTGATTTACTTTCGCCATAAGAAAACCTGAGAACTTTTGGAGATTTAGAATCATAGAATCTCGGAGAACAGCCACACCACTGGCAACTTGACTTTTTGACCCTAAGAATCCATTATTAACATACTTTTACAATGATTTGATTGAGAAAATACCTAAGGGGAGAATGTAACCATAAATTCAGTTAAGCTTTTAATTGAATTGCTTTTATTACTCCAACAGTGACATTTGAATAATAGTCCAAATCTATAGGAGAAATGTTGCTTTTCAAGTCCACAGACTCCTTTATGTAATCACCTGGGGTTGGTTCCAAAGGTCCCAAGTCAGAAGAAGCTCTGGTTTATTCCAAATTACCAATTTTACAGTTGATGAAGTGGTGGCACAGGAACTTGCTTAAGATTCCCCAGTCGCGTTACCAGCAAAGTGGAATGAAATCGGGGTCCCCTGTTTCTCTATTCTGGGTTCCATTCCATCCACCATCCTGCCTTCATTTTATTTAGACATGGAGTATGCATGTGCCTTAAGATGCAGACAGTATCCACTCTATGGCTCTAGAAAGTGTTTTCTGCCTCCCCCTGACAAGTTTGTTGTAGCCATTGAGATGTTCCTGATGTGGGTTATTTCTGAGTGTCTGGGAAATGTTCTTCTCTTTTGCTGCTGGTTCACCCTTCCCTCTGTTCAGGGCACCGTATAACTCCAGGACTCCAAATACATTAGAGGAGAAAGCTAGGCAACTATTCTTTTCAACCAGATGTTTCTCAGACATTAAAGAACAATTAAAAATTAAGGAATAAAAATAAAAAAAATTCAAGGGTAAAAAAAACCGTAGAAAAGCTCTCAGTGGGATGCAGAGTAATATCTAACAGTTTACTAAGCCCCAACACACATTTATGAGCCTTCTCCCTGAGGAGTAAGATTACAATCAATAAGTGAAGAGAAATCAGCATTTTTATGACATGCTGAGCTCAAGTCATTATTTTTCTTTTGGGTCTAAGTTGATTGTGTCTGTGTAAAGTGTCTTTCAGAAAGGTTATCTCTTCTCCTCCCATCCTCTCACATCTAATAAAAGGCTTGGGTAAGACTTATCAGGAAGTAGAAAGTGAGTATTTTGGAATATTGAGCTTCTACTGTAAGGGACCAACTGAATGTGATGGTCTGGATTTTCTTTTCTTTATTTCAATAGTTTTGGGGGTACAAATAGTTTTTGGTTACATGATTGCATTGTGTAGTGGCAAAGAAGTCTGGGCTTTAAGTGTACTCACCATCTACACCTGTGCACAATGTACCCAATAGGTGATTTTTCCTCCCTCTACCCCTTCCTTCTCCCCCCTGAGTTTCCAGTGTCCATTATACCATTCTCTATGCCTTTGCATATCCTTACTTTAACTCCCACTTACAAGTGGGAACACGCTGTGTTTAGTTTTCTGTTCCTGAGTTAGTTCACTTAGGATGATGTTCTCCGATTCCATCCAAGTTGCTGCAAAAGACATTATTTCATTCCCTTTTTTTTTTGAGTCAGAGTCTCACTCTGCTATTTCATTCTTCTTGATAGCTGAATAATATTTTATAGTGTATATACACCACATTTTCATTATGATGGACTAGATTTTAATCTATGGAACCAAAAAGATTTAAGAGTTAGAAATTAAAAAGTAAACAGAGACAGTTAGAAGTTAAAAAGTAAACAGTTTATGGGGAAAAACATTTGTGGAACTCTATAGATTATAAGAGAGTTGGCGAAGATTTAAAAAATATGACAAAGCAAAAAGACATTTGCAATTCATGTTCATTTGGAGACTAGAACCCTGAGAAAAGTGAATGGCCAAAAGAAAAGGTCCCCTGTATTAAAGGATTCAGCTATTGATTAGTGGAGCTCCTTGACTTCTTCATGGCACGAGTCTGGTTCAATTAGGGAAAGAGAAAGAGAACCAAGATGCTGTTTTGGACTCAGCCATCAACACAGTTTTACAAGTAGTGCAATGCACCTAGCATGACAGGGATATGCTTTGGTTGGACACCATCTTAAATCACTACTCTCCAAAAGTTTCTAATTTAGGTTTTGGAAGGTCTTATCCATCAATTATGAAGTATATCTCCAAGTTTTCAATGAAAGCCACTGGGAATGTACTATATTAAATGTAAAGTGAATATTACTGGAAGGCATTTGTAAAATGAGAGCTATCCCTGTATGACTACAGCAGGATTTGTGGCTTTCTAAAAACCAGCCTTTCTGAATCCGATAGTCTTGCTTCAGAGAAGTGAAAAATTGGAGATGTTTTGTAGGAGATTTAAAATTTATATTCTGACTTTAAAAAAGTATTTCTATAATTCTGATCTGCAAGATTATCTCTCCTTAACCTCACCTTTTTTATTACTGTTTTAAAAAAAATCTTATCCCATCAGATACTCAATCCTATTCTTAGGGTTCTGTGTCTCCAGAACTTGAAAATACATTTCTGTGGAAGTAAGACAAATCTGGAGTTCTATTGCCAAAATTTATAATGAGCTCTTTTCCTGAAAATTCAGCAGGCAAGTCGAACAAAAGGTAGAAGAAAAAAACAGACAGGATAAAGTCCTGGTTTCCACTTCTCTTTATGCCTCATTTGCCTTGTAAATTTACAACCTTCTGAGGAAGCAGTCTTAAGCAAAACTAATAATAGGAGACATGTGTTTGAAAATTATTATTAGAATAGCAAGAATCCAAGAAATCTGGAGGCCTTTTTGGCAGGATATATATTTACATATAAAGCGAAATAAGTATTCAATTTTCTAGAAAATCTTCATATATCAAGATCCATTTCTTCTTAACGGAAAGCATCCTGTTGGGCAGGGTGCACAGGAGATTTGCCCTACCTTCAAGTTCTGCTTCACTTGCATTTGTGAATAAGGCAAAGAAAGGATCCCAGCTTCGCACATTCTTGCCACCCATCTGCACCCATCCCCAGGGAATTTTCCCTTTGAGTGTGTAAGAGGGATCTAAGGTCATACCACTCTGAATGCACATGCCCTTGTTTGAGTGTATAAGAGGAAATATTTGTCTAGAGGTTAAACAATTGACCTTCCATCTTCTTTTTCTCCCTCTTTCTCTGGCTCTCTTCCTTCCACCTTTCCACAAGTATTTAATGAGCATCCACAGTGAGCTCAGCCTTGCCCTCTCTGGGGTTCCAACAGTGAACAAGATGTAGTCTTCAAGGAGCTCACCGTCAGGTGAGCGAACAAATAAACCAGCACTTCTGCTGGGCAAGAAGAGTGATTACTAAGGTGGAGATACTTAGGAGTGATTGGTCCCAAGTCACATGTCACTTATTTCCAGGATAGCGAAAGTGTGGACTCTGGAATCAGAGGGTTTGAATTGGAATCCCACCTCTGTTCCTTACCCACGAGGTGACCCCTTAGTGCCTCAGTTAGCTTATCTGTCAAAAGGGGATAACATCCCTCTTAGACTGTTGTAAGTCACTCAGAACAATGTTCAATGAATAGTAGGTGTGATTATCATTATTATCCTTTAGTGCAAAAATATTAAGTCCCATAGAATTTCCTCTAACATTTCACATTCGAGTTATAAAGCACTCAGGAAAGAATACTCAGTTTATTTATGTGTTGCTTATTTTCAGAGACCCAAACTCTATTTGCGTGAAGAAGGTTAATATTTCATTATTTTACCATAGAGATCGTAGTCTTGCTCTTATTTTTCCTCAATTTCATCTGCTCTCTTCATTGCCCTTGAGCCTATTTTCTATTTTAGCAAGGTCTGTTAAGCAGCAGAGAGGTCACAGAAGTAGGCAGGGTGGAAAACCAATAGGGACAAATTGACACCTGACACTAGGCCTACGTGGACTCAACTCTAAGGGGATCTATTCTAATAATCAATTCCATTTCTTTGCTTTCCCCTGGGATCTCTAGGAATAGTTCAGAAATCAGATTCTAGACATCCATGTTATTGTGTCTTTCTCCTTCCTCCAAATGTTATATTTTAATGACTTTCTTTTCACTCAGGAAAAGAAATATGACTAATGAGTGTGTCCCTGCTACTTGGCAACAGCATATGAGCCAGGTTGGGTGGGGTGGAGCCGCTGCTTTCAAGGGCTGATATATTCACTCAAGAGGTAATATCAGGATCACAAGGGATCAGCAAGAAGGTAGATGCTGGCTCAATAAAAGGGAAAACTGGTATTTAGCACTGCCAGCAGAGCAGTGGGCTGCCACAGGGGTTATTGAGTACCCTGCCACTGGAGATATCAAGCAGGGATTCTCTGATGACTTATTTCTTTTTATTTTTTAACATTAGCATGCATAATCCTGAAAAAGCAGCACAAAGATACATAGAAAATAACCCGGATCATTTAAATCTAATGATTTCAATTTACAACATTACTAATTTACAAACCAGATAAGAAATAAAGCTACTATTAGCTTGTCATTGATCAAAGAAAAATGGTTTCCACAGTATGAACAAGACATTATGCCAGGAGTTACAGAGAATTCAAGGACTATTAATAGAAGGTTCCTATTCTGGAATTGTCAAGAAAGGGCAAAAACATGTGAAAAGTTAAATAATAATACAGAGATAATATGCTCTTAAGTATTGTCACAGATAAATCACTGACTGATGACCACATAGATGGTTCAGTAAGAAATCCTATGGCTCTTAAGAAAGAGGGAGCTGTGAACTAGTTGCAGGACCTAATTGGAGGTGGTGTCTTAGTCATCTTGGGCTGTCATAACAGAATACCACTGACTGGATGGCTTAAACAACAGACATTTATTTTCTCACAGTTCTGGAGGCTAGAAGTCCAAGATTAAAGTCAGCATGTCTGGTTTATACTGAGGCCTCTCAGATGGTTACTTTCTTGCTGCATCCTCATGGGATCTTTTCTCTGTGTACACATGCCCCTGGTATCTCCCTGTGTGTCCTAATCTCCTGCTCTCATAAGAACACCAGTCAGATTGAACTAGGGCTCACCTAACAGCCTCATTTTACCTTAATCATCTCTTTAAAGGCCCTGTCTTCAAACACAATTACATTCTGAGGTACTGGAGTATAGGACTTCAACATGTTTTTGGTAGTGACAGGGGGTGGGAGAAAGACCCAATTCACCCCATAACAGATGGCCTCTTGGAGAAGGGAGAGAATAAACCAAATCTGTAAGAAATGGGATAGGAATTGAATTGGTAAAAGGTAAGAGAGAGAAAAGGCAGGGAAACATTCAAATCACAGAGACAAACAAGGGCACATATGAGGTTTCCTCTCTTCTCCTGAACAAGCCTTCAAGACTGACAGACTTTTTCCTTCTTCAGAATACAAAAGCAAATCATTCCTGGGTAGAGATGCAGATGCGTTCACCAGCTCTGACTGGGGGAGTGACTGTAAGTTGATATTTAAGTGATACTATTCTTTGGCTTTGAGGGCCCAGACAGAGTAACAAGTTTTAAAAGCATTGCAGGGGTGAGGGACAGAGACAAAGGCTGCAGCCTGCCTGTCACATTTCGCTAAGGGGTTATATTTTATAACTGCTTTCAGCCAAGCCATTAATGAGGTGTTAGAAATGATCATTCACTACCAGACAAGTTGTGGTTGATCACCATGGCTTTTAATAATTTATTTGAACTTCCTGCACTCCTTTTCTGTTCTGACTATATTTTTAGTTTGTTTTCTGTTTTCTAAAACAGATTGCATTTCACGTCGCATCTCCATTTTCAATAAATTTTGATTTAGTAGGACTTCCACGGTCCAGACATTCTTTTGGATGTTATGAGGGCTGTTTATTGGAGCCTGGATTTTTATGAGTTTTTAAAAAACTTACTATACCAAAAAAAAAAAAAGTTTTCCCTTCTTCTCCTCCTCCTTTTTCCATTTGAATGCAAATGGAATCTATTTATCTAAGAAACTCTGATTTCACATTCTGTAATTTGGGGACTATGCTGAAATACAATACTCTTTTCCATTGCAGAAGAGTTTACTTTCTTTTCTCTCTTCTCAATTCAGGGATTGATACTACCATCAGTTCTATTCAGATTATGGAAATCCAGCAAATAATAGACCATCAGTATTGCAGTAGAAGCCTCCGGTGCGGGTGGGTAAGCTTCCCTATTATGTCCTGGTTGTTTCTGGAACGTACTCTGGGCTTTGGGTTTTTGAGACTGCAATGAAAGCTAAAGCCACATGGCAAAATCAATGTGTACTTACATTTCTCCTTAAGTGAAAACACATTTGTCACATGGTGGAAGAGGGAATCATAAAATGATTGGTATTAGCAAATGCAAATAAACCCCAGCCCCAGTGATTCCAGTTTCTGGGTTTAATGGACGAGTCCAAAGCAAGGACTCTGTGAGCAGTTCTGTGACTGACTCTCTGAGGACACATACCAGAGGCACAGAGCTGCCAGTTAATTTTATAGACAAGAAAGATATTGTTACGGATGGCTCCAAGTTATGAGTGAGCTGGTGTCTGTATATGAGAAGAACCCCCCCCAACTGAAATCTATTTATTAAAAAGTGTGTATTTCTTCTTACATGTTTAAATTTTCAATTACCTTCAAAGTACTCTCCATTTGATGCAATACACCTATCGAGAGTCTTTTTACACTGCCCAAAACAGTTTTTGAACTTATCAATTTTGATGCCTTTTAGTACTTCTGCCATTTTTTGTTTCACCTTTTCCACACTGACAAAAACCTTTCCCTTTGAGGACTTCCTTCATCCAGGGAAACAAAAAAAAGTCGCTGGGGGCAAGATCAGGTGAACAGGGAGGGTGGGACATGGGTGTCATGCCACCTTTGGTCAAAAACTGCTGAACCCTCAGCGCAGTATGGACAGGTGCGCTCATAAATCACACTGAAAGAATCTAAAACAAAAAAAACAAAAAAACAAAAACCCACTGAAACCAAATGCAACCTCTCACAACAACCTTAGTTGGTCCATTAAAGCCACAAGGTTCCTAGAACACTCACCTAGTGGAAGAAGCCTGTATTACTAGGGGCCTGCCCCTAAAAGATAACTCCTCTTTTTGTGGACCCCCTCTCGCATTTTAATAACAAGGGATATCATTATTTTAATTGCTGGAAAATATATAGCTTATCTTAACTTTTTCGGTGAGGAGGAGGGAAAAAAGAAAACAAAACAAAGAGACATTGCAGAAGTTGTCAGCAACATCTATCTCCGGTGAAGGCCATATCACTTGTATTGAGGTAATGAGGTAGCTAGAAGTAGAGAGTGCAGGCTGTTTCAGCAAGTACAGTTTGCAAAGTTGTAGACTTTAAGAATAGGGAGTTGGCTGGGCATGGTGGCTCATGCTTGTAATCCCAGGACTTTGGGAGGCTGAAATGGGAGGATGACTTGAGACCAGGAGTTTGAGACCAGCCTGAGCAACACAGCAAGACCCTGTCACTATAAAATAATTTTTTTAAAAAGGTATTTGTGTGTGGTGGCACATACCTAAGGTCCCAGCTACAGTACTTGGTAGGCTGAGGGGGGAGGATTGTTTGATCCCAGGAGCTCAAGGTTGCAGTGAGTTATGAGCCACTGCAGTCCAGCTTGGGAGCCTGGGTGACAAAGAAGAAACAAAAGGAGTTATTTTTCTTAGTTTAATAACTACTTATTGAATGCCTGCTAGGTTAAAGGTCTGTATTTTGAACTGGTATCACAAATCCTTTGGGTTTTCCCTCTTATTTCTTTCTCAACCTGCTCTAACTTGGGCTTTAAATTGATGGCCCTGAGTTATAAAGCATGCATGGTGCTTTATGATTTGTTCATGACCTCTGTAATCATTATCTTGTTTAATTCTCACAAGATTCCTAGGAGGTTGGTATATGGCGTCCCCACTTTGTAAAGTTTTAGTGAGCTTGAAAAAGTTTGCCTAAGTTCACCCATCTAATAAGTATCAGTGACAGATATTAACTGATGGATGGCATAATGGAGAGTCAGATGATTCAAGTTCAAACCCTAGAATTTTGACAAGATGTTTATTCTCGCTGCATAAATGTTTCTCATCTGTCAGATGGGGATACTATCAACTGAGTTGGGTTCCTTGAAGCATGCAGAGATACTGGGAGGCACATAATAGGAAATGAATTCCATTTATCTAAGCTTCCCCAGTTGAACAAAGTACTCCTGACCCAATGTGGACGTTTCCATTTTTAAAAATACACCCATTCACTAAAATAACACTGTTCTCAACTTGGTATGCAAGTAGCGCTCTTTATTTTTATTTCAGCTTGATTGAGGTATAATTGACCAGTAAAAATTGTATATGTTCAGGGCGTATAATGTAATGTTTTGATATACCGAGACATTGCAAAATGCCAGATCTTTCCATTTCCTTTGTTTTTGCTTTTACGTTTTTAACAATTTGGTTTAGTAGTATTTAAAGAGAATCTAAAATGACTGGATCTTTTCCCCATTTGTCTGATTTTAAGTTGTTTTTCCATGTAATTCAAGGGATGCTCAGGTCATAAGGAGAACTTGTATTAGATACAATGTGCCTTCTTCGTTACAGTATGAATCCATGGAAGTTCCCTTTTGTTCAAGCCTCTCTTTTACTGGAGAAGGGGGGAATCTATGTAAAATTTTCTCCATTACTAAATAGTAATTAGAATTATAATAATTTTAGTAGATTTAAGTTCTAAAAGTACATGATATTTCTTTCTAATGTTGCTTAAAAAGGAGTGACTTATGATAGAAAACTAGTACTTACTATTTTTAGGGAAGTTGTTTGAGGCCTTTTCCTCCTCATCTGTCTTCAGAAATCTGTATCTCCTTAAAAGGGTCTGAAGTCATTTCATGTGTACATTTGACTTTCCACTATGTTTTCTAAAAAATTATAAATCTTCGTGGTATATTTTATACTAAGACCTGAGAGAGATCTGAAACTTGACAGGTATATTTCTGAAAAATATAAAACTATACCGGGTTGAACTCAATTTTCTATATTTCTTATAACATTTGACAGTTGACATAGTATATAACGAGTGGCAAAAAGCCTTTTGAGGACTTCCTGCATATTTTGATTTGTGGTTTTATTTTTTTCTATAATTAGGCCTGGAAATTACAATTACAATATTCCTGTTAATAAGCACACACCCACCAATGTCAAATTCTCCCTGGAAATAAAGTAAGTGCGTGGCTGTACTTTATTAGGAGGTAGGAGACAAAAAGCTATCAGTCCATGTTAATAATGGTGGGTTGAGAGGTGGGCCAGCTGCAGGAGGGGCTTTCAAGATGAGGACTGGGATCCAGGCTTCCTTGAGGGACCAGAGGGTCTCTAAACTGTTCACTTATGCCTGTGAAGTGCAAGTAACTTTGATTTGATGCTCACAAGCCGAATACTTTCCCCGTGTCACTTTGCATTAAGATGAGAACAAGAGTAATAATATGGTGCCCAGATGGGGCCTGCACATTTGGTGAGCTCTTGGTAGCCGTGCTAACACAGGCACAGCCCCCTTTTCCCCAAAAGGGGAAAAATAGGAACCAGAGTTTGGAGTTAGGCAAATCAGTGTTCAAGGGTTCTGTCACTTACTTATTCTGTGAACTTGGAGAGGCCACTTACCCTTTCTGAGCTGCCATTTCTTCACCTGTCAAATGAGTATTATATTATAGCATAGCATGTAGAGCTGTGGTGGGAATTATTGTAAATAATGGTGAAATTAATAACTACCATTTGCTAAGCACAGACTATATGCCAGACACTGTACACTTTCATACTGGATCATATAATTTCCACAACAGCTCTCCCAGTATTTTTTTTCTAATTTATATTTTTCAGATGGGGACATTTGGGTTTAGAGCTTCAGGACACATCAAAAAAAGTGTCCTGAAACTCACAGCTAGTCAGTGGTGAAGCTGGGCTTCAGAGCCAACCCATCCTTGGAACCATCTCTGTCCTGCCTCCCAGGGGGAGATGAGCTATGTAAAGACATTGCCCTTTCCTGACAAACAGTAGGCACACAATAAATGGTAGCTTTTGTTATGACTACCTTTCCTTCAAAAATCACAAAACTCAAATTTAACTGATTCCTGTAAGATATTTTAAATGATTACGGTACTTTAAAGTCTTCTACCCACTTCACTAAAAAATTAAGCAATGAGCTACTTTCTATGAAGAGAAAAGATTTTATTTTGTCTCTTGTTTTTAGTCTCTCCCCTCCATATTCCCTCTCTTTTCTCCTTCCTTTTCTCCTGCTCTTTCCCTGTCTCTCTCCTTCTCTTTCTCCCTCTTCTTCCCCACCTCTGTTATTCCTCCTCCTCCAGTGGCCACATACCCCTGTTTCCTCCTCCACTTTACTCAGGTTTCATATTCCTTTTCTCATCAATTTCGCTTCCATGAAGAACTAACGACACTCAACCCAACTGCTTGCCTTGGAAAAGCTTGTTTCAAACAGCTAGTATTTTATGACTCAGAGGCTATCATATTTCAAGGCAGAGCAAAAGCTAAATGTATTACTCTTCAGCACTCCTTAAGTAATCTGGAATGATATTTTCTTATTCATTTCCAGCTTTTTAAGAAGGAAATAAATATGCTATATTCCCGGAAGTGGCAGAAGATCACCTTGAGTTACTAAATCAGGGCTTTTAGTTTGCAAGCCATTTTTCTAATAAGGGTGATTTAAAAATAACACGTATTATACTCAACTGAGACTGTAGGTTGTCCCCACTTGTGCAAAAGAATTATTTCCAAGGCAGATGATCTCATCTCCTTGATGATGATTAATGGGCCAACCTCCAGAGAAGAAGAACCATCCTTTCTTGCAGGATTTCCATTCTGATAACTTTAAAAGCTGGTGATTTCTAATGGGGCTCACCCAAAATCCCTACCTGTATTTATTTGCCTTGCTATTTCGAGGACTATCTACTCAGATCAGGAGTTTGCAAAATCTAAAATCTTGAAAGTTTCAAATAAGTGCAAATCCAGCATCAGTGAACATAGAAGGAATCTCTCCAAAATTATCTGAAAAATCTATGGAGATAAGAAGTTCTGCTGTGAGATGATTTAAGTCATGAGATTAGGTTTTAGAAACCACCACAAGCTATTTCAGTAGTCATCTGAGATTGGGTTTCTTTTTATAATAATGAGTTGTGAGCTAGCCTATTGGCATCAGTGAGCTTTATATAATACAATGCCTATTGTGAACTTTGAATGGATTTCCAAGTTACATTCCCATTAGTCCCTCTCCTTATCAAAGTGTATGTTGCCTTGTAGAAGCTGGTCACTGCTTTTCCATTTACCCTTTCTTTCCTTTGTCTCTTAAAGCACAACAGAGCCATTGATAGTCTTCCAGTGCAAATTCAGCCTTGGAAATATATGTTTCCATAGTAAAAGGGAAGCCAAAGGGATCCAAAGCCATAGACAAGTCTCCCAGGAGATGACACAGGTAATGTTTTCTGGCTCCTTGGCATTCTGTCCCGGTTCCCTAGAAGTGTGTTTGTGACCCCTGTTCCCTACTAAGAGAGGGGTGTATTGAGCCAAATGCCAGTGACTCCTCTTGCTGGCCGGCGCTGGGGACAGGGCTTACTTGGCTCAGCATCTTCCTTGTGTCCTTACGAAGCTGAGACTGTTCTAGAGACACCTGTCAAAGCTGTTATCACAGATACCTCTCCTAGTGTCATCGAGGAAATGCTTTCCCAGCCTGTACTCTTTCCAACTGAGTATCAGATGTGGTTATGAAATGGATCTCTCTTTCATTCATTATTTAGGGCTATCAGCACATTTGGAGTCTCCCCGTGGCCCCATTCTCTGACAGCGCATACCACTTCCGTGTCGCTGCCCCGGTAAGCTGGCTTTTTTCCTTTTTCTTTCCAGTGAGAAAGAAATGGACCAATACACAAATAAACCACTTTAATACGGCTACTTTTTACATTAATCTTTCTCTCTTTCCTCCTGTTCTGACAGGATCTAGCTGACTGTTCAACTGATCCTTATTTTGCTGGGATATTCTTCACAGATTACTTTTTTTACTTCTATCGACGCTGTGCCTAATTTATTCAAGTTTGGGGACATTATCAAAGAAAAATGCTCAGAAATACAGTTAACGGAAACATCCTCTGGCATCTTCTTTTCTGTAAAACATTCACATTTATCGCTGAAGGACTTTTTCAGACTTTTGCTTCCAATGGTTTTGAGTCATTAATGAGGAGAATAAACTGTTTGCTGAAACTTGAAATTATGTGGTGTTTGATTTTATCATGACTATGGAGAAAATGTTTCCTGGAGTAAATAGTACTGTTGGACCTGAAAATACTGCTTTGGCATTCAGAAAGTTGTGAGGTCAAAATAAGCAGGTCTAGCTCTTCTTTGTCTTCGTGTATTTTAAAGAAAACAAACAAACAAACAAAAGTCCATATCAGCTTGGACCCACTAAACATAAGACTTTTGAGAATGTGTGACATGGTTGCAGTGGTGGGTATCTGATCCTGAGCTCACAGCTAGCAAGCTATTGTGTGTGTGTGTGTGTGTGTGTGTGTGTGTGTGTGTGTGTGTGTGTATACTGTGTACACACACACACACTGGAGTACAGATGTAGCTTGCTAATAAAATGGGTTCAAGAAAAATAGTTGCAACTCTGCTTTGGAATGTTTGATGGACACAAAACTTTCTTTGTGGCTAGGGTATGCTCCCTTTTGAAGATGGAAACTCCTATGCCCCACGGCCCACTGAACTGATTCAAACTAGCCCATCCTAAGCCTGCTTACCCTGCCTGGCCAGTTCCTTCCCTCCAATACCACAACAAAAGCTCTTGTCCACAGTTTCTCCCCCTCCCCCTGCCTCCTGAATGACCCCAGTGCTTCCCTGTGTGGCCTTCCTGAGGCCCTGCGTGCCCCCTTGTCTTGGAAACTGTGAGTAACAAAAGAGCTTTTCAGCGATAATCGTCTTCTGATCTGTTGGTCTTTCTATACCTTAAATTTTTTATGAACATGTTATATTTTAGAACATGGAAGTTCAAGCCACTCTCACGCTAGTTCCAGGTAACCGGGATGCTGAGTGCCTGGCTTTCCCTTATCTTACTGTTGGTTTCTGAGTCAATTAAGATAAGACAATTTGATTTTTTTTGAGAAGATTGTTTATTTATTTCTTTGGGAGAGGGAGTTGGGAGTCACTCTATTGCCCAGGCTGAAGACCAGTGGCATGATCAGAGCTCACCATATCCCCAACCTCCTGGGATCAGGTGATCCTTCTGCCTCAGCCTCCCGAGTAGCTGGGACTACAGGCCTGCGCCACAACTCCAGGCTAATTTCCTGATTTTTTTGTAGAGACAAGGTCTCACTTTGTTGCCTAGGCTGGTCTTGAACTCCTGAGCTCAAGTGATCCTTCTGCCTCAGCCTCCCAAAGTGCTGGGATTACAGGCGTGAGCTACTGTGCACAGCCAGTATTTTACTGTTCATTTTGCTGTTTGGTTTTGTTTATTTGTTTCGTTATGCTTTGCTAAATTTCAGCCCCTTTAGCTCAACCTATGGGTTTATTAGTAAAAAAGACATTTGATTATTTGGAAATATTCTTATATTTGTCCAAATTAACATTCTAAGGAAATATATGAGTCACAATTTTTACAAGGTATGGATATAGACAAAATGAGCTTTTAAAACATATTTTAGCACATATTTAAGACAATTTGAGTTTTTACCTTCACAGCGGTAATCAGCAGTAATGATACATCCTCCTCATCCTTATTTTCAGATATTATTAAATATGTGTCATGTGGCTAGAAATTAATTGTGAGACCCCAACAATTAAAAAAAGATATGGCCTTTGCTCTCACAGAAGGCATTTTTTTTTATTTTAAAATTTTTTATTTTTATTTTAGAGTTATGGGGTGCATGTAAGGATTTCCTACATAAGTAAATTTCGTGCAGGTGAGGTTTGGGCTTCTAGCAAGACCTTTCTCCTTCTGGTAGTGGACATGGTACCCAATGGTAACCCTCTTTCCCTCCTCTTGCTAGTAATGCCCAGCATCAGTTGTTCCTACCTTTGTGTTTGTGTGCCCGGTGCTTAGGGCCTGCTTAGGAGTGAGAACATGCTGTATTCAGTTTTTTGTTTCTGTGATGGTTCACTTAGAATGATGGTCTCCAGTTGCATCCATGCTGCTGCAAAGGACATAATTTTGTTTCTTTTTATGACTGAGTAGCATTCCATCGTGATTATGTAACTTTGAGGTCTGGAAGTATGATACCTCCAGTCTTGTTCTTTTTGCTGAGGAGTGGTTTAGCTATTTGGACTCTTTTTTCTTCTATATTTCTGTATTGTCACGTGTAGTTCTGTGAAGAATTTCTGTATTGTCACTTCTAGGCCTGTGAAGAATGATGCTGGTAGTTTGATGGGTATTGAGGTTGCCTTGAATAGGATGGATATCTTGATGATATTGATTTTTCCAATCCATGAACATGAGATGTTCTTCCATTTGTTTGTGTTGTCCTTGATTTCTTTGAGCAGCGTTTTGTAGTTCTCATTGTAAAGGTCTTTCACTTCTTTGGTTAGATGGATATTGAGGTATTTTATTTTATTTTATGTGGCTATTGTGAATGGGATAGCATTTTTTATTTGGTTCTCGGCCTGCTTGTTGGTGTATGCAATTGTTTATTGTGCATTGATTTTGTATCCCAAGACTTTACCGAAGTCATTTATCAGTGCAAGGAGGTTTTTGACAGACTTTCTAGGGTTTTCTAGGTATAGAATCATCGTCTGCAAAGAAGGATAATTTAACATCCTCTTTTCCTAGTTGGATACCCCTAATTTCTGCCTCCTGCCTACTTGCTCTGGCCAGGATTTCCAGTACTCTGTTAAATAGGAGGGATGAGAGTGAACATCCTTGTTTTATTCCAGTTCTTAGGGGGAATGCTTTTAGCTTCTGCCCATTGAACATGATGTTGGCTGCAGGTTTATCACAGATGGCTCTTATTATTTTGAGGAATATTCCTTTGATGCCTAGCTGTTCCAGGGTTTTTATCAAGAAGGAATGTTATGGAAGGCATTTTAAATAAACTTATTAACACAAAGATAGTTTAACTCAGTGAGTAGGAGCTGAGACTCTGGAGCCAGACAGTCCCAACCTTGAGTCCAAATCCTGACTTTTTCTGTGTATCCTTTGGCAAGTTATTTAACTTCCCTAAGCCTCAATTTTCTTATCTATAGAAGAAGACAGTAAGTATCTACAACAAAAAGAATTAAATGAGATAAAGAATAGAAAGCACAGATGAATATGAGCTATTATTGTTACATCTGCATAGAACAGAATCATTACAGTGATTATAGTGGGATTATAAAGCAATTCAGTAACTAAATACTCACATATGCATCAAGGCATTTTCATATAAAAACTAAACTGCAGATAGAACTGTATATCAGTATATCATATAAAGTTTATATTTTTTTCTATGTTTTCCCTAATAGCACAGCTTTTGTCGAAATTGGAACAAGGTAAATTCTGGGAGGAGGATTTCAGGATTCCTCCAGTTTCTTAAATTCAGATTCAGACTTGGTTCTCCTAAGTTGTACTATCAGCCTGTCCCAGCACAACTTAGACCTACATACTGTAGGTTGTGATTCCACTTTAAAAACTGAATCCCACGTGGTTGATGTGAAAGAGATTCCATAATTTGACTCTTTTTCTCCTAGTAAAGGAATGTTTATCAGCAGCAGATTTACAAGAGTTTTTTCCAGCACATAAAACCCATGTTCTTATTCATGCACTTATGGCCAGGAGAATATGGGGGTTTCAGATATCTAATGTGATTCAGTAATGTTGCCTATAAGGGGATTTCTATAAGTGAGTACTGTTTTCCCATTAAATTCCATTTATAAATGGGAAGTATTTTCCCCACAGAAAAACTTCTACAGACGATTGTGCTGAAAGCCTTCAGAAAGAAAGGATTTAAGATAGTGAACAGACCTAATGCAACCTGTGACATGCCGGGATTAGTTAAGCCCATTGGGGAATAGACTTTCCTGGAAGATTCTCTTTGTGTTTGCAGTACTTTTCCATTTGTGAGATATTCACTGTGGACCACAATGCTTCAGGCCAAAAAGCTTTTCCTTTTATGCCAGAGAAGTTTCTGACTCTCTACTGGAATATCCTTAAACTCAAGTAAATTAAAATGTGTGTAAGATTCTTTTCCCAAAAACTTATAACCCTAGTCTAATCATGAGAAAAACATCAGACAAATCCCGACTGAGAGACATTCTACAGAACACCTGACCAGTATTCCTCTAAAGTGCCAAGGTCATCAAAAACCAAAAACAAGAAAAGTCTGAGAAACTGTTGCAGCCAAAAGGAACTTAAAGAGACATGATGATTAAATGTAATGTGGTATCCTAACTGGGACCTTGGGACCAAAAAAGGAATGGAAAAACTAAAGAAATATGAATAACATATTAACTAAAGTATGAACTATTTAATAATAATGTATCAACATCAGTTTAGTAATTATGACAAATATACCATACTAATGCAATATGTTAATAATAGAGGAAGCTGGGTGTGAGGTTTATAGGAAACTGTGTACACTATTATCTTTGCAATATTTCCGTAAATCTAAAACTGCTCCAAAATAAAAAGTTTATTTTGTTTGCCTGGGCCCGCGGGTTCGAGACCCGCCTGGGCAGCGAGACCTCATCTCTACAATAAATCAAAACATCAGCCGGGCGTGGTAGCGTGCGCCTGTAATTCCGGCTACTCGGAAGGCTGAGGCGGAAGGATCGCCGGAGCCCAACAGGTCGAGGCTGCGGTGGTCGGGAGCGGCCACTGCACTCCAGTCTGGGCGACAGAATGAGACTCCGACTCAAAAAAAAAAAAAAAAAAAAAGTTTATTTTTTAAAAACTTAGAAATAAAGTTCATAAGATCTGGGCCAAAATATCACATGCTGCCACAAGTGTCATTTGTAATAACATAGGATAAATTCAAACATGAAAAATAGGTACCACGCCCGGCTGATTTGATAGGTACCATTTTAAACTTCCCTGCCTTATTGGTTATTTAGGGAACTTCAAATTCCCTGTTTTGCCAATTTAATTATCCCCCATATATTATATAGAGTGTTATTATTATTATTATTTTTTGAGTTGGAGTCTCACTCTGTCGCCCAGACTGGAGTGCAGTGGCCGCTCCCGGCCACCGCAGCCTCCACCCGCTGGGCTCCGACGATCCTTCCACCTCAGCCTTCCAGTAGCTG